CACAACGCCATCTAGTTTTAAACTAAGCTGAGCTTGTACTATGCAAGTTAGATTAACTGATAGAATACTTTTTATTTTGTAAATATATTCATATTTACATAAAAAAACACCCAAACTCCGAAACAAAAAAACAAACTATTGGTCCGACACGGGAATCGAAGCCGAGACCTCAGGGCAGCAGTTAAATACGCTACCACTGCACCACCGAAGCAATCAGTATTATTATTCTGTTATTTAGGCCAATCTTTAATATCTGTAACTTGTATCAGGATACCTGTACAACAGTTATTACCACTCAAAAATTTGTTTAAGTCTAGATCCTGTAAATACAAAACGTATGAGTCTTATTAGAGAATATTTGTGATGTTCCTCCTCGCTTGTTTAATGAGGAACACACTTTCTTTATGACCGCAGACTCCTTCTGGTGATGGTGCAAGGCAATGGCTATAAGAGGGCTATTCTATAGACTGTTTCAACTTGGAATGAAAAGGAACAAATTAAGTAGGGTTTAAAAAGGAACAAATTAAGTAGGGTTTAAAAAGGAACAAATTAAGTAGGGTTTAAAATGAATGATAACGTCAATTATGATTTACAAATGATGCATTCACAGATGTTTGTGATTTTGATTATCAAAGGTAAGGACAAGCAAATTTTTTGCCATTTTTTTTTCTATTCCATTATGTTTTAGTAAATTCATTAATTGTTCATTTTATGGTTTCATATAGATGTACCGATACAGCAACTAATACGACTTTTAAAAGGAACTAAAAAAAGTTTTAATTTTTGTGGCAATCGTATTCATACGTCCGTGTGGTGACGGATTAGGAATACGGAGTGTCACCACCCCTATTCATCCCGTGGGTCTCGTAAGAGCCGACTAAGGGAGTCAACTACGCAGGACAACAACACTGCAAAGGAAAGGAAAACTTGAGACAAACCTTATACCAACCCGTCTGGCCCGCGTGGTGTAGGCCAAAGCCTCCTTTTAAGGAGAGGCCTATGTCCAGCAGTGGACTATTAAAGGCTGTTGATGATGATGGTAATATACTTATGTACTAATGTACTATACTTATGTACTTATGTACCGGCTAAGAAGAAAACAGCAAGAGCAGTGAATTATAAGGCTGTTGCGGTAAAAAATAACCAAATAAACACGTACTTCATGGAATTCACAAAAGTTTTAACTTATATAATTTATTAAATCATACACAAATAAATGACTTTTCAAATACGTTTGAAGTCAGTATTCTTGTTTTTAAAGGTTACTAAAAAATTTGTCTGGCCAGAATTTTTTTGTTTTATTATATTCACTGGAGTATTTTTTTAATTATGTGACTACCTACGCCAGTTTCATTTCATATTCTGCATAACCATAGTTACCTGGGTTGAATTAAAACTCGTAATCCCAACATCTCTACGTTATTAAGAACAAACCGCGTGGTGACGGATTAAGAATACAGAGTGTCACCACCCCTATGCATCCCAAGGGTGTCGTAAGAGCCAACTTAGGTAAAAAAAACTACGCAGAACAACAGCACTGCAGAGAAAAGGAAAACTTGAAACAAAGCCTATACGAACCCGTCCGGCCAGCGTGGTATAGTAGGCCTAAAGCTCCTTTCTAAGGAGAGGCTTTTGTCCAGCAGTGGACTGTTAAAGGCTGTTGATGTGTTAAATATGTTTTTTACCACACAGAATTCCTTTAACTTAAACCATCAGTAACTTTGCGTAATTCACACGGAAGCATGTGAATGTGAGTGACATAATGATCCAAACACGCATCACTAGCAAACAGACTCACGATATTCTCTGTAATCGATATGACGTCTTTGTACTGAACACCGCAGATCTTTTAAGCCTTTCTGGTTTGTGGGCTGTGGGTATTGTGGAAAATAAACATTGTGGAATGCAATAAATATATTGAGTATTGCTTAACTTGTTATGAGACGAATGCGGTGGTTAAAGTATGTTTGTTTATCCTCAGAACTATTATATTGCCCTCGTAATCGATACAGCAGTAATTCAGAAAAGGGATTACGAGAAATCCGAGCTTTGTGCTGATTATGTTACAATTTTAGCGTTTGTGATAAAACTATACACTCGATTTTTATGTTCTATATTTTAAAAGAAAGGGAAAAATATGTTTTTTACAGTAGAATAACATTATCTTAACATTTCTGTAAAGGTAATAGTAAATCATAGAAAATCGTGGCTTCATTACCGTATTATTAATAATAATTTTAATTAATATTTAGCTAAGAGGGCAGTAACTGTTGTAGATACCGCACCCTGTTTAATATTATTTCATACTGCTATATTATTTAAAGAATTCAAAATAATACATTTCAATTACTGCAGTAAGGAGACATCATACTGCCTTTTACCTTAGATCTTGAAAATATTTTAAGCTATTGTTAGGAGACGACGATAGCCAAGCTAATAGAGGCCGCAAAGTAATCCTGGGTGATCTAGCTATAGTAAGTGGACTCCGTCCCTGATTTTACAGCTCCCTAGTGCCTAGCGCCGTTTTGGTGTCAAATGAATGCCATAGGTATCTAGGCGTCTGGCACAGGCACTATCATTGCACGTTCGTGTAAAATAGGAAACTCACTAGACGAACGATACTAAAATCAGAAGACCATCATACAAAACGCCGTTCTAAGCAAAATGGCCGAATATTTGGATCATTAATATGTGCCTAGAAGCACAGTACCACTTACTGCTCTACTGATTTCCAAAACTACGTATGAGATTATTTCATCTTATGCCATATTATGAAAGCAATAAGGGACGATACTGTGTTTATATTTGTGTACATATGAGACATTCATTACAATTACTATCTCGAAAGTGCAGTCATCATCATCATCATCAACAGCCTATAACAGTCCACTGCTGGACATAGGCCTCTCCTTAGAAAGGAGGGTTTGGCCTACTATACCACGCTGGCCAGACGGGTTGGTATAGGGTTTGTGTCAAGTTTTCCTTCTCTTTGCAGTATTGTTGTCCTATGTAGTTTGCTCCCTTAGTCGGCTCTTACGACACCCACGGGATGATTGAGGGTGGTGACAATCCGTATTCTTAATCCATCACCACACAGTAAAGTGCAGTACAGCAACATATTCTAGTCGTTACTAGTAAAAATTTATTTGATGCATTGGTTCAAACTAACACAAAAAGCAATATATCTGCAATTTACTAGTTTGTTTTTGTTAGGAAATTTGTGAATGCAAATTAAATGTGTGTCAAAAAAGTATGTCAATGAAATTCGGCTCTTTAACGTAGTTAATTCGATTATTAAAACGTTCTTACTGCTCTTTATGAAACTAGAAAATGCAGTTCTTATTTATGTATATGTATGAAAACTTGATAGGAAGGAAGCTCGTTTGACGTACATTCCATATCAGTAATAAAGAAAAGAATGGACACCTTTGACTAACTTTTTTTCTTTTCTTTAAAAGACAACTCCTGCATTAGGTGCTCCTAATATTTCACCTTGAGTGTGTTTGTGTTCAGACAAATTTGTATGTAAATACTTTAAAAATTTAGTTTACTTTGGTAATAACATAGTACATATTTTTAATGTTGAAAATTTAATTGTTTGTAAATGTAGCAAGAGATTTCAGGCTTTGAAACTTGATGTTGATGTTGAAATAATCCAGGCATGCCTTGTTTGGAGTTGTCTTTAGGAGGAGCGACATATCGAGGGGGACTTTACAAACATACATGAAATGGACACAAAGAACACCCAGACTCAGAACAATAATTTGTGGATCACACAAAGTGTCGTCCTATTTGGGGTTCGGACCCACAAAACTCAGCGTATTAGTAAGCGGCGTGGCGACCGCTTTAACCACTACGCCATCCATGCAAATTACTGTCCTCTTGATTACCACTGCAATATAAGACACTTGCTAAATTCGGATACGGTTTTGGGCAAGTCGGTTTTTTGGCTTTTTAACACAATTCCCTTCAGTTGTAATTAAGAACCTTACTTAAAAGAGGACTCGTGTCGAAATGTTTTTTTTATGTATTATGTAGTTTGGTTGACTTATTTTACGACTAGATTTTACCCGCGGTTCCGGCTGCGTGTATATCGCGGTTAAAGGTAGCCTATGTCCTCCCGCAAGAACCAAACTGTCTCCATATCAAATTTCATCTAAATCGGCAGTTTAAACGTGAAGAAGATAGACAGACAGACACACACAATTACTGGTATGGATGTCCTATGTTCCCTGGGTGAGGCAATGACCTCTAATCGCGACCGGTCTTGAACTCCACGCTTGTTTTAGTCCCATGTCTTGCCAATGTATTTCTTAATTTGCTCGTTAATAAAACAAGATATAAATACTTATGAAAAAAAACAGTAATTTAATGAACAAATTACACAAAGATGTGATCTTAACATTATTTACAGTAATTAATATTACCGTAAATAATGTTAAGATCACATCTTTGTGTAATTTGTCAACACTGGCCGCTTTCAGTTTTCTACCCGTGTTTATAGCCTTACTGTTCCGCTCCTATTGGTTGTAGTATGATGTTACATGACCTATTAGCATCCTAGATTAATATTATATCTAAAACAAAAGATTTTTTTTCAAGAAATGCCATAAATATGCAAATTAAAAAAAACACTACAATATTATAATTGTGTTTAATTATTATAATGTGATGTGGAGATTATCTTGTACCTTGTAATTGTACTTTACATCTTCAACAAATAAAAAAACACTGGTAGCATAGCAGCAAATTTTAAATATCCTTATACTACGGAAATTCTTTAAAACACAAATCTATATGTTTGAAAATGTTTAGTTGGTTTGTGTACACTTCGAAAACTCAAAAAGTTCAGCACAGATTGAGAAAAAAAACATCCCCGTCAAAGATTGTTCTTATCAATTTTTTGGGTCAGTTCTGTTCTTTATTTCTCATGTGCAACAGCGAAACCACAATATGCGACAGCGTGGCAGCATACAGTTAATTACTAATAATTAGGGCTCCTAATTCTCCCAGTCTTCTTCGTATGATATTTTGACTAACTTCTTCGATTCCTTCCACACATTTTTAGTCAACACTGTATTATTCACGTCTAAGGAACTAAAAAATTCATGGCAATCTCTGAAATGCTTCCCACTTTCACTTTCAAATTTAGGGTCCACTGCTAAATACACCGCCATGGTTGCAACTCTATGTAAGGGCCTACCAAATTTTAATAAAGCTGCATTCAAAGTATTTCTTAAGAGCTGATTCTCAAAATGTCTGAAGAACTCCGACTTTCCTAATCCAGGATCCATACTGTAAACATTTACACCAGAACCTCTTATTCTCTTCTCCATTTCAACTGTAAAGAGTACATCTGCCAATTTGGAGTTACAATAAAATCCAAAATTGGAATATTTGCCTACGTCATTCCAATGCTCCAGGTCTATCGTTCCCAAGATTAATGCAAGAGAAGAAACATTTATTATTCTGCTCGGTGCAGAAGCTCTCAAAATTGGAAACAAGAGAAACGTAAGGAGAAATGATCCAAAGTAGTTGACTTGCATCATTAATTGTAAATTGTCTTGTGTCAATCTGTCTTCCAAGCCGATAGCTCCAATGTTATTGATAAGGATGTCCAAACGAGGTTCTATTCTTACAGTTGTGTCAACAAAGTTTCTGATTGACGATAGCGATTCAAAGTCCACTTTCCTTGCAACTACATTCTGGTTACCTGTAGAATGTATAATGGTATTTCTTGCATCTGCTAGTTTTGTCAGGTTTCTGCCTGCGATGATGACCTTTGCACCTCGGTTGGCTAAATTTTTTGCTATTTCAAGGCCAGTACCTGATGTAGCACCAGTCACTAGAGCCACTTTGCCGTATAATCGGACGTCGGTCGCACAATCCGTAAAATCGTCTCTTAGAGACATGACGCGTGCACTTGCTACTGAGTAAATGATTTTAATACGCACAAGTAGTACAAGGTTTTAAGTAACCTTGAGACTTACTAAAAATATGATAAACAATCATATTTTTTAGTAACTCTCAAGGTATTTTACACACACAAAGACACATTACAAAAAACTTCCTTATGCATTTACGGTTTAAACAAGTTCCACTGTTATGGATCAAAGAGGTTAGAAAGAAAATAGTTCCTGATTTGTACTACAAGGCGTGTCGCCATTTGTCTCCAACTCGTTAATTTCACTACAAGGACACAAATAAACCACACACACTTAGATTACGAATTTTATTAATTCTCACACAATGCAAGTGCAGTGTTTTAACGGACGTCACACATGCGCCAAAGCAATTTTTTCTCACACATGTTACGCTGACCGAAAGATTGAGTTTTGCTATTTCTCGCTTAATTTCGGGAAGAAAAGAGAAATAATGGGGACTTCCTAAATACAAATAAATAATGATGTCGAATTAATTGGGGAAATCCGATATAGCCGCGAAATTCAAATCCTCTTTCGTTTTGCTGATTGCAGTTAGTTACACATCAGTATTATGTTGTTCTAAATACTATGAAATATTTCTTTTTGGAAATAACCATATTTACGATCATCGTAAAACTAAAGAAGTATACTTACAACTTTTACGAATATTATTATTAATTTCGTTTATGACCACGGAGCAAATACAAAGTTTGCGCGGACTTTACGCGGATGATTCGCAGCTCTATTATCAAGTCTCGATAGACAACATAGACGAAGCCATCTTGATGTTAAACAACGACCTGGGGGCTATTAATGATTGGGCTAATAGGTTTGGTTTGACTGTAAACCCAGTGAAGAGTCAAGCCATTATCATAGGCAGTCAACGTATGATTGGAAGGTTAGACCAAGGTAAACTGCCACCCATTACCTTTAACGGCATAGTCATCCCTTATAGTCCTGCCGTTAAGAACCTAGGCCTAATAATCGACTCCAAGCTCAGCTGGCAAACCCGGGTCACGAGCATCAGCCAGAGAGTCACTTGTACGCTACGGGCCCTTTATCGACTCAAGAATTTCCTCCCCTTTGAGACAAAAGCGATGCTTGTACAGACACTTATTGTCCCCGTCCTGGATTATGGTGATGTATGCTATTATGACCTGAATGCATACCTACTCAATAAATATGACCGCCTTCTGAATAACTGCATTCGATTCGTCTTCAACTTTCGCAAATATGATCATGTTTCCTCCTTTCGTCGCGAAATGAACTGGCTATTCGCCAGCGCCGACACCTGCGCGCCCTCACCACTCTCTATTCCATTTTCTACTCACCCATTTCCCCCCCCTACCTGACATCTTCATTCCAATTTCTGTGTTCCAACCACGATAGAACCCTCCGTTCAGCTGACAATCCTCTCCTGCTCTGCCCCACTCATACTTCCGCTTGTGTCCACTCTGCGTTCCTAATCCATTCCGTACTCCTCTGGAATGCTCTCCCTCTCGAAGTCAGGATAGCATCCAGCCGCCTCTCATTCAAGATGAAAGCTAGAGCTCGCATTCTGGACACGCTAGCAGATTCATTACAACCTTGAAATCTTTTATATTATTGATTTTTAGGCTTATGTATGTATGTTGCTACGTAAGTATTTGTGTATGTGTGACGACCGAACGGCGTAGTGGTTTGTGTAACGGACTGCTATTCCAAAGGTCGCGGGTTCGATTCCCGCTCAAGTCAAACATTTGTGTGCATGAACATTTAATGTTTGATTTGGTCTGGGTGTTTCTATGTATAATAAGTATGTATTTACAAAAAAAAAAGTATATATGTATTTATATCAGTTGTCTAGTACCCATGGTACAAGCTCTGCTTAGTTTGGGACTAGATGGCGTTGTGTGAATGTGATACAATATTATTATTATTATTATATTATTATTATGTGTATGTATTTGGTACGTATGAATGTATGTATATTTATCGCATTACTTCTGCCTAACTTATCAATCATTTTCTTTTACTTCACCTATTAATGTCTAGTGCACCTAGCCTCAAATTTCAGCACCACCCTAAGGTAGACTGGGAGAAAATGCCTATGGCATTAAGTCCGCCAATGTACAACTATTACTTATCTTACTTACTTACTTATCGGTTCTAAGATTGCAATTTGTTTCAGTTTAGTGAGTAATCCAGTACAACAATAAAATGGCCATTAATACGTGACTTCTAAATATTTTACTAATATTTACATAGATGGCGCTGATCACAAAATTTGTGAGCTGACGACGTACACACGTTCTATATAGTAGTATGGAAATATGGTAGTACGGAAATATGGTTTGGTTTAGTTTGGGTATGGAAGTTTTACTTAAAAGTAAAAGGTGTGCCCGACAGGTTGCGCACAAAATATAGAACGAGGTCATTCGATCACTATTTTTACTTCAAAAGAAAATATTGTGAAGAGTAAAATTTTCTTAGCTAGTAAATTTTCGTATTTGTGCGCAACCTATCATGAGCACCTTTCACATGTGCGTATAACTTGTATACTTGTGTATAATTTTTCATCTGTTGCGATTGTGTCGTTTTCGTCTACAAACTACATAATACTATTGTCAAAATTGCAAATGGTACTTGTATTTTAAGGTTTTTGGACTCACTGGTGAAAAGAAAGCTTCACTAGACACCTTTTTTTTTTCCGTTCGGAAATCCCCTCGGATACCACCTATCGGTGGCATGTCGGACTCGAACCGATTAAAACCGCACGCCGTCTCGGGTACTAATAGCCGGGGAACCAGGTATACCCTAAAAAGGAAGTCCCTGGTGCCCCGACATACCTCGGGTCATCTACAGCGCGCTTCGCAACGCGCTCGCCGCCACCCCGGCCTGCTTCTGTTAGGGTGACAGATGGCCTCACCTGTCACCCCCAGGCCTGCGCTTATGGAGGACGGAGGTCGTTCTGCGACCTCCGGCGCCTGAGTCGCCTGCGGTACCTGGCCCGTTCCCGGGCCTGGCGGGCCGGGAGAGTCCTAAACCTCTCCCGGTCCCGCTCCGCCGTCTCCTTCGCGAGCATAACTTGCTCGCAGAAGGAGACGGCAGAGTTCCACGCACTCTCGCTCCGCACGATAGCCGCAATCAGGCTATCGAGCGAGAGAACTCCCACTCCGATGGCCTCTGCTCAACCCACGCCGGGCACTCTGCCAGCGTGTGGAGAGCCGTGTCCACGGTCTGGCCATCGCAGTGGTGGCACTCGCTTCATATGCTGTCACAATAAGAGGGAGAATATCAGTCGACATACGAGCGTTGATCGTATATGTTATGTGCGCTGTGCCTGCCGACACAAGGCTTCTAACCTTCCAACCTTCTTCTAACCGCCATTTAACTGTTCTATGGTTTTAAAATTCAAACTCTTTTTCCTCTCAGATGTTGTTTGTATGTTTGCTAAAGAGTTATTAAATAAGAAATAATATTAATCAATTGAACAATTCCAAACAATAACTGGATTTGTTATGACTGTGAAAGGAACTGTAGGGCCTTTTGGGTATAATAATTTTTCTATGTTCTTTTTTTATGGCATGACTGGGGAAACGAGCAGGCGGGGTCATCTGATAGTTAGCGGTTATCGCCGACCATGGACACTTACGACTCAAGAGCAGCAAGAGCATTGCTGTCTCTTGAGGCCCGCCACCTCAGATTCGGGAGGGGTTTGGGCTCCGGAAATCTCACTAGGCATGGGATAAAATCACAATTACCTGGTTAAGTTGAGTTAAGGTTAGTTTGATTGATTTTGATGCTATTAACATTGTCCATGACCATATCATAAAGTGTGATTTATCACAGAAGAAATCACAGTGACTAAAAATTCATTTCATCAAATGAATATGATTTAAAAGTAGCAATAATTTCCATGTCTAAATCTCGCTCACTCAGTGAAAAGTAACAAAATAATTACTTAACACCAGTTTTCTGTAATGCCGTGGTATAACTCCGATTGATTTCTTCTCACTTACTCAATTTATTTAGCAACGCTTTGTTATGGCTTTCGATTTTAAATAATCGGTGACTTTAAATATGTTCCTGTGATCTAAGAAGTACCGTTTGAAAGAGTACCGGTCTATCACCGAGAGATTTTCAGGTATACAAGCGCGTGGATGAAAATAATAGGTGTCGTTTGTGATGATTAGTTTCCTCTCCTACAGAATTCTAGCAGCCTCATTCCTTATTCTGATTCCATGCTTACCGATGGTGTTACTATATAGTGTGGTTTTCTGTAGATGTGCTTCCAAAATTTCTAAGTTTTCAACTCCCTCAGGTTCATCTCAGTTTTTCGGTTGGATATTTTTTTTTACACATCTTACACACTGTCGACTGATCCCAAACTAGGCAGAGCCTGTACTATGTTAAACAGACTGCTGATAAACATACTTTTTTTTAAAGACAACTCCCGCATTAGGAATAAGTTCCTGTGTCGCGGGGGACTTTACAAACATATATGAAACGGACACAAAGAACAGCCAGACTCAGAACAACAATTTGTGGATCACAGAAAGCGGCGTGGCGACCGCTTAAACCACTACGCAATCCGTGCAGTGTTACTTACTTACTTATACTTACATATTTCTAAATACATACATACATATTATAGATAAATATTAAATGAATACTAATTTTGTTTCAATAGTTGTTTCAATCGCTCTGTAAAAGATATTACTATCGTCTCTAAAGAATGCCCACGTTGGCGCATATTGCTTAACAATTTAATAGAACAGCATGTGTTCCTCTCAGTTGTCTTCCGGTGGTTCTGCTACATATATGAGTTACGTCCCTTATTTCAAAGCTACAAATATCAGTTTTATATTGAAATAGCATTGCTCAATGTCCTGAATCAACAATAAACCGCTACGACAATGGCTGCGAAACAAACCGTGAGAGTTGATCAGGTAAACTCTCAAAACATTTATTTTACGTAAATATGTGTAATAGTCGAGAGCTGTTAC